CCCGGATTGTTGTTGGGGGCAATATGCTGACTCTGTAAACCGCTTAGAGAGGGCTGAAAGCCCTATGAGGCGGTATATAAGTCTAACTGCTATTGTTATTGCTATTCTATAAAGTTGCTATAAGCAATAAGCTTCCCCATACGGCTTGCATTGTTTTTCAAAAAAACTGGTCTCACACATCACTCAACCCGCTGGACAATAACTGTGCTCAAAATAGGTTCCTGCTTTGCATCTCCAAAGCTTTATCCTACAGCATTAACAAAATATAATTCAAAGGTCAGCACTTGCTTGCTTGGCTGGATGACATATCAGGGCCAACATAAGCAATAAATTACCCAATGCAAACTGCCTCCAGTTGCTGAAATTAACCCAGAATTAGTGAGTATGAGGGGGGTCTCCTACAGCTAGAATGGGCTTCATATCATTTTAGAATTCTCTTAGCTTCTCTTCTTTGACAGCTGATAGTGAATAGCCTGTGTTCTAGCAACAAACTCAGAGTGGGCTTATAAGAAAGAAAGAAATTCAAATAATTTTGAAGTTGTTCAATAAAAATAAAAATAAAATTATCTTTAATTTTTCATTCTGCTGATACACTTAAACTCAAGTCAGGCAGTTTTACAAGCTCATCAGCAATAAGGCTTTCCAGGAAAACAGTTAAAGGATCAGATTTGCGATATGCGGAAAATACATGTATTTGCCTATAGACTTGAGTTTGGGGCCTATTTATTCAGAAATAAATCCCACCAAGTTATACGAGCTTAATCTCAAGTAATTGTATATAGGATTTCAGCCTTTGATAATAAGATTTAGGGGCTTAATTTCTCATCCTGGCACTTGACCATCAGTAGTGTTTGAAACATTGTTTTAGCCAAACAAGGTTATCAAGACAGAGGGAGAAAAAGGATATCCGGCACAGCTAGTGAGCCATAACTATGGTTAACGATGCCAAGCATGATTCATCGTGGCCTCTTGATTAAATGACTCTTAATTCTCTTCCTGGAATGTCTTCTTTCTCATTCTGCATACCCATTTACAACTCCCCCAGATAATTCCAAGGAAAAGGAAGGAGAGCCTCATTAGTGCCTGACATCAAAGGATTCAGAAAAGTGTGTAATACAGAAATTCCAAATATTAGGAGTTGGCAACAGGTTCTACATTATCGTTGCATCGGGTACTCCGTTGAAATGTATTCTTCGTAGAGGTTTTGCATTAATTGTACTTACAAAAGAAACACTAATTATCTTCCCTCTGCAATAATTAATATTTAAAAATATTGTTTTCATCTATCACAAGCCATAAGGGCTATGATAGTGACCTAAGTGGAAGAAGTGGGGTAGCATTCTTAGCTGTAGTATTGTGTGTATTTGTTCATTCATTTAGTTAGAATTAACACTACCTTCCTTTCTGTCAATTTGGACACTCGAGCATTATAACTAGGGGGTTTCCTGATTGGAGGAGGAGTAAAATATTTCAGAATATCTGGAACTATAAAAAAGAGTGGGGGCTGGGGGCTGTATATGGAGTAAGGTTACATGGCCCTTCTGCAATGCGCTCTACATGGGGCAGCCCTTGAAGAGTGTTCGGAGACTTCAGCTTGTCCAGAATGCAGCCACGCG